TGGAAACGGTAGATGAGGGAGTTGAACGGTCCATGGCCCGCCGCAAGAAGAATGCTCCCCCGATGGATATCAACCAGAAGTGCCAGTTCTGCGACAAAGTCTTGAAGCGACCATGTGATCTTACGTGAGTCCACATTCTCCTCTCATCCAATATGTACATGCTAATACATAGTAGTAAACACGAGAAGACCCACTCTCGTCCTTACAAGTGCCCTGAAAGGGGATGCAAGTATTCCGAATTGGGCTTCCCGACTGAGAAGGAGACGGAGCGTCATTACAATGACAAACACTGCAAGAACCCCCGGTTGTTCAGATGCCATCAGCCTGGCTGCACTTACGCATCGAAGAGGGAGAGCAATTGCAAGCAGCACATGGAGAAGACGCACGGCTGGGTGTATGAACGGACGAAGAACAACGGCAAGAATAAGCCTGTTAAGCAGGGATCCGCTCAGCCTACTCCCCAGACCAGCGGTATCCCATCTCCTGCTGCCTCCAACCCGACAGGCGACTTCTCTACACCCACGACAGGCCCCACTGTTTCCCCTAGTGAGCCTCCTATTGCCTTCCCTGAGGCAATACCGTTCTCATTCGCCGACCCACCCGTTCCGACCCAGACTGAGGACTTTCAATTATTCTCGAACAGCCCCACTTCGCTTGGCGGTTCTCCCTACCATAATATGAATGATGCCCAAGGGTTCCCACCTGGCGCAAACTTCGACTTGAACCAGCCCCAAGTGCCTGGTATTGGAAGTCCTGCCTCCGGATCGAGCGAGTTTCTCACACCACCCTCGGGAAGCACTCACTCACCTTTTGATCCTATCAATCCATTCCCCGACAACTCGATGTTCTCATTTGAGCCGTACATGCAACCTAAAACCGAGGAGAGCTTGTTGTTCGTGAGCGGCGGATTTGGCGATGTGCCTAGCATGTTCGAGCAGAATCCCATGGATTTTCTGACCGACCCAATGTACAACTCAACCTTCATGGGCTATGAGACTGTCCAGCCTCAGCTTGAGGCCAATCCAAATGCGCAGTTTGGACTAGATGGTTGGGATGATTTCATGTGCAAACCTGACCAACCTTCCATGTAGAGTGGAAGACCAGGACTATAGTCCTGTTATTGATGCAATGCTGTCTTATGGTTTAAGGCCTTTCGCTTTTGTTTTAAAAATATGTGCAATACGCATGGTGTTTGGATAGGGGCCTCGTGTATTAACGGCTTTATGGCGGATTAACGGTGTTCGAATCAGCAAGAACTTGGTATCATTGGCATTGGAAGTTTTCATCACTATTTTTCAAGAAACACATTCTATTCAGAGCAACATCTTTTTGCTGTTGACATTCTTTTGTATCATGGACATCGAAAGCTGCATGTTACTATTTTAAGGACACAATCACTATTTCCAGAACGTCCGTCTAATGGTTGGACGACAAATTGCTAGATATCTACACTCTTGTCTTGACTAGGAATTCCATATTATCGTCTAAGATCATTCGTCATCCTTATCCCTCGTAGTCCGTAGTCAGTGTATCCATGGAGTGGTGTAGAACACCTTTATACAACGTCAAATACAGTAAACTTCATGCTTCATAATATTTATGTTACGGGATTGAAAAAAGTCATCTACCGATATTTCTCGTAGAACCCTGCCTCCTCCATTCGCTCCTTGACCCTCTGGATCGTTTTCTCATCGTATAAGTCTTCCGGTTTCTTCTCGCCCAAGAGAACTTCCTTCTCGTGTTTGGCACTTTCCTCCTTAGTCATACACACAAGGTCCATCAGCTCAAACGGAAGGAATTTTTGTCCTTGTTTCTCCCACTCAGGGTCAGGCACAAACCCGCGAGCTGGCCGCTCCCATGGAACGAGAATGAGTCGGCCAGGAAGGCCGGTGATAGCACTCTTTCCTCGCCAGATCTCGTCCACAAGGAAAACGACGTCGTCCTTGGTAATTGGAAGACGAAGGCCAATGACATGTTGACCAACCTCAACTCTAACCAACCGCTCCATGAAGCCCTGGGTAGCCGTCTGGACCGAGTCATATATTTTATCCTTGCCTTTCCTGGCAATGCTGTAGTCTCTCGGGTATCCTGCAATATCACAGATGACATGGTTTGCCACGGTGTATCCAAAAACTGCGGGCATGGTTCCAAGAACAGGTAGGATTCGTGCGCGGAAGTCTGGCAGAACGCTGAGCTCGCCAACCTGGCCCTTATTGAACTCTTCCTCTGCAAGTGGCAAGAGGCTAGCCTTGCCTGGGCCGGGCTTCTCCGTTGAGAATACTACCGGAATACCTGTGCTTACTCCGAGGATCTTAAGACGTCGGCGAGTGCTGCGCGAGAGAGGATCGTCCGTGCTGGTCGAGATATCGCCTACTGTTACGCATGTAGGGTCAGACTTGCATCCTGCGCCCATTGAAGAAATCACGGGAATCGAGTGTGAATGGCAGTAATGTAGCAGCTCGACCTTGGAGGTGATGTTATCGATACAGTCCAGCACGTAGTCTGGCTTTCGTCCTTTATCACTGTCGTCCATGGACCACGGTGCAAGTAAATCGTCGGCAACAGATCCGCTAAAGAGTTCGTTTCGGCAGTCAAACTTAGTCCACGGCGTAATTTGTTCCAACCGTTTGCGGATGCAGTGCACCTTCGGCGTACCGACGTCAGCAAGCGTCGCGAGAGCATGTCGGTTTAGAGAGGATAATGTGACTTGGTCGAAATCAATCAGTCGTATCTTAGAGACGCCCGACCGGGAAAGGGAAGCTGCAGCATGCGATCCGACACCTCCACATCCCACAACTATTATGAATGATGAACGAAGCTTCTCAAGACCCTCATCGGTGAGGAAGACACGATTACGGGCAAGTTGCTCAAGGATAAGCTCTAAGCACAAAAGAGGGTTAGCTAACAGGCTCAGACAATTCCTACGAGATATACGTATTTACCGTCGTCGTAGTCTCCCAACTGCGCCCTGCGCGCAAGCGCCGCACTGCGCTCATCTTCCTTGCTCAATTGTTGTACAGGGTCTGCGCCGCCGAATTTGGTAAGCTACATGCAGCGTTAGCAGTGAAGAGCGTATCATGTATTGCGCAAAACAAAATACCTTCCCGGCAATATGTTTCTCATCGATACTCGGAATAGAGGCTTTCAATTCCTTGACGGCTTCTTTCCTTTTGAGCGCCTGATACCCAAAGATAGCTCCTGCAACAGCGGCCCCCGAGAGCACAGCCGTAGCAGCAAGCTGTGTCTGCTGGGAGCCAGCGTGCCGCTGTATCCACGAAGACATTCTAATAATCTATCTCTTGCACCTTCTCTTCCCAACCTTATGTGAGTTCTAAGTTGAGCGCGGCGGACAAACGTCAGTGAACAGTTCAAACGATCTAGGACTTCGTTAGGCCAATGACATAGATTGTAGGAGTGAATAGTTCTGGTGGGAAAAAATTCTTTTCCGAGATCAAGAAGTGCTTACCATTGCGACTTCCAAGATAGAAGTGTCTATGCCTCATACGTAATGCCATAGAATTTCTCGGAGTCTCGCCGGCGGCTACTATACAGTCACGTGCAACCCCCCTCACAATTAGTTCTAGACAAAAACAGCTCCTATCCCTTCCCTTTCTCAGCAAGTTGGTTATCTTAATCTGGCCGGCAAACCAGGTAAGTGATGCACTTTTACTCTACTTTCGAGTTCGCCCACTGACTCAAACGTGTACAGATCTTGAGAATGACTACTTTTCTTAATCCCGATGACGATAACCCTTCACTAGAGCTTTTCATGACACCTGCGTATCGCACGATACAAGGCGATGGACTTTATCCTTCGCACCGTCGAATGGAAGAAGACATCATGCTGCAGCGTGAGTGACTGAGACAAGAACAGAGATCTAAGGGATTATAAAAAGCAAGTCTCTCGTACCTGTGGCGATGTCGCGTTGCGTTCACATAGTTGAACACGATATATCTTCCAAAGCTCCTAGCCTATTTTTTTCAATGCTTAAAATCTAGAAGCTGGGCTGTGCTTACAAACTTTTATCTCCATTATCGAAAAATCGTGATTACTCAACTGCAAGCACTGAAATGATTTTTTTCGATTTACTAACATCATCTCTGAAATTGTTCTCCTCGAGATTGCTCTCCTTTTATCTTTGATTAACCCACCCCAGGCATAGCAGGCGCATATACCTTCACCCTTCTATGACCACCAGACACCCCAAAGCTCCTGAGCAGACTACTCCACATACAACATGGCCAAAGAGAGAGAAGCAAAAGACTCTTCTGACTGTCTTTGACATAATTTACTTTGCTCACTAACAGACAGACGCTGTTTGTTCTCCTATATGTTTTTCTTCCCGTTTTTCTTCAAGGCGTTCATAAGGTCATGATTGCAAGCCCGGTGACGAGGTGAAACCAAAAGCCAAAGTTGTATGGTATCCGGCAAATCCGTGTGCAAACACGGCTCACAACAGCCTGGAAACCGATGAGAACCAGAGAGCTAATCTGAGGGCCATCCACCAATCTAATTCCTTTGTTTATGTTTTGCTCTATTAGTAAGGAAGGCAAGTTAAAGTCTATTGTTATCCTATCTACATGAATTATCTTCAGGAAACTTCACTTTATAAAACATCGATCGGTACAATTCATCTCGTTGCTGGTTCTGGGAATGATCTTTGACTTGGTCATCTAAATGCCTCGGAGCCTGGCCCACAAGGATATAGAATGCAGAGTATAGTACAGAAAAAACAAGCACGCTTGGGAGGCAGATAGATCATTCGCTCGCTCGTGAAACCAAAACCATAGAGGTCAAGTTGCCTTTGCCAGTCGCGTAGAACGAAGGACGCTACGGGCCCAAAGCCAGATTACTACCTAGCCTACGAGAGCCTCTGTTCGTTGAATCATAGCCTGACGGAATTTCATCCATTAGATGTGCATAAGATTTCTCAAAAGGGTATAGATATCTTCTGAACAGATAGATTGACACTTAGTTGGAGTCTATCAACTTCTAACGGCTAGAGCCAAGCAAGAGTCCACAGCGCGGGCAAATTCGGCCACTTCTCCTGCCAGGCCGCAAGAATTTCCGGGACCTTCTCATCGAAACTCCTCCGAGCTTCACCGGTTCCATTTTCCCAGCCTTCAGGATTATTCGCTTTGCGTTCCTGGACGGCAGCCTCGTTGAGCCGATTAGCTAGTTCGAGAATGGCCTTTCCTCCGACTAGGGCTTCTTCGTGGTTATCTTTAATATCGACATTGAATACATGGACGGGTCGGTTGAGGAGCGATCCTTTATTCATAAGATCGTCAACAACGGCATCCCAGCACCGCTCCTCACAGGTGATAATGACATCGACCACGCCACCCTCGGTCCCCAAGGCGCCTTTGTCGCCTTTCGAGACATGGTCCACACGGGGCATGCCTGGAACCCAGTCTTGGAAGCGCTCCGGGCCCCATTTCAGGTTCCGGTTGCGTTCGAGCATGTTTAAAAGCCCATTGTTACGATAGAGCCTCTCGTCCTTGGAGAACAGTTCCTCGTACATTTGAGAATACGAAGTGGTATTGAAATTGTACACATTAGGTTGCGTAATAGATGGGCCTGGCAGACGGACCAGGGAGCCCGTCCCAAAGGAGATAACAGGGAAGTGGGATGGTGCAGTAGATAGACGGAGATGGGCTTCCATCGAACGGTTTTGGTTCGATGCGCACACCGTGCAAAATCTAAGTTTATAAGAGTCTGACTGCTGCTCCTGAATGGGTGCGGCTGCAGTCCCGTCTGAAGACTCGGTCTCCGTTGATGCTGCCATGGCAGGCTCAGGAGGCGGAGGGGGAGGAGGCGGGGGATCCGGAGTTGCAGTGCCCGCACTAGCTAATCGTGGATCATAGGCCATGTTGCAAAGAATTATACGCAGACCAACAGAAGGTTAAGTGTGCGTGTGTGTGATAAGGGGAAGGGTTTAGTAAGAATCAAGGAGGCTGGAAGATGTGTTCACTAGTAGGTCCCTGCAACGACTACGCGGTATTAGCAACGTCACACAAAACCACTTCGGTGAGTAACGGCAGCAGAAAAGCGAATTGCATTGATTCAGAAAGATGAAAAGCGTATAAATAGGTTTATCCGCATAATGTTCTCGGACAGCTCCAATAATAGAGATCATCATGTAATTGGAATAAGAAGACAGGCTAAAGAAAGGAAGGATGTCCATACCTTAGAGGGTCGTCGCATTATCTGCAATTTAGATCTATTACCTATATTTCTGCGGCTGCGTTTGTGATGAGCAAGGGCCGCAGCCCTGGAAGGTAAAGAGGGAAAGAAGAACTTTGGGGGTATTTTGCATCCGCGTCGAAGCTTTTGTGGTCACGCGCGCTTAGTCAGCAGTAGCTTTCCCGAGGCTTCCTCAGGACCTCAGGGATCCATACCAGCGGGTGCCTCAAGGGAGGTGTGGGGCCGAGAACGTTCTTTTTGTACTCCGTAGAGATCAAAGACTCCAAGGGCTTGTTGGTCTCACCTCTTGATCTGCAAGTATCTTTCTAATTTGTACTTGTGACAGATGAGAGGAAGTCTATTGGACTATACAACTACTACGTAGCCCGTTTACTGCCGTACGTATATATCAGATAAGGAACGTATGCAAAGTCACATAGTTTGAGTGAGGGGCAACGAAGTGAATTCTCCAGTGGAAATATCACCCGGAATGCGCACCAGGAGCTTCCTTGCGTTCCAGCGTAACCTCACTGACAAGTCGCCCACTCAATAACCACAAGAGAGTCCAAACTCCAGGCCAGCTGTTCCAGGAGAACTAGTGAAAGAGAAGGAAGCGCGCGAACTCAAGATGAAGGCAGCCTTACTCGTCGTTGACATGCAAGAGGACTTCTGTCCACCCGTAGGTCGCCTTCAAAATCTGCATCGTATTATCTAGAATGTCTGACACTTACGCATTCCCAACAGAACGGAGTTCTTCCAGTCCAGGAGGGGCGCGTAATCGCACCTATTATAAATGAGTTGTTGGCACACCGGGGGTTCGCGGTACGGGTGGCCACACAAGATTATCACCCAGCGGACCATATCTCCTTTGCCAACAGCCATCCCCCTCCCAACAACCACCCCTTTGAGAGTGTGATTACCGTGAACAACCCAGCCCCGGGGAAAGGGCATGAAACCAAACCACAAAACCTGTGGCCGGCGCACTGTGTTGGGGAAACCAGGGGAGCTGAGATCATCCCCGAGATTCATACCAGTAACATCGACCTGTATGTGAAGAAAGGTATGCACTCTCAGGTGGAAATGTACTCCGCGTTTGCCGATGCTTTTGGGAATGTTGATCCTTCTATTACGGCTCAATCGGTGGATGCCGACCTCCAGGACTTCCTGTCCAACAAGGGCATCACGGACGTCTTCGTGGTTGGACTGGCGGGCGACTATTGCGTTAAGCATACAGCTATCGATGCCGCGAGGGTAGGCTTTAAAAGTTACGTGGTTGAGAATGCCACCCGGTGTGTTGTGCCGGGTTCGGGTTGGGACGGGGCCAAGCGGGAATTGATGGAGGCTGGAGTATCCATTATTCAATCAAATGGCCCCGAGATTTCTGGTCTCGAAATCTGAGCTCGCAGATCGTATGGTTCAAATGTGACTGACCAGGGCGGGCTCTTTCTGGATCATTGTTTTGAGGATGGCGGTGTGTTTCTTGTTAGTTTAGCCATCATCGACCTATCGTTAGGTAGTTACCCGAATTGAACGATTGGTTTCAATAGCACTGTAAATAGTTCAGCTTGATATGGACATGTCCTATATACTAATGCAAAATGTGTTCCCAATTCCATTGATACTGTAGCGAGAAAGATAAACGGTGTACCTTCACACGAGGGCCACTAATGCAACGGCCCCAACGCTACAACCTCTTCTAGTGATAATTGTCGATGTGATAGACTAATATGCCAGGCCATCTGAGGGGACTTGGACTAGAATCGAATCTGATATCATACGAACTACCAACATCTCTCGATGATCCTCGGTATACTGTGTAATTATAATTATAATCGATACGAAGCTCGCGGCATGACAGGTCTCCACTGTGACGTATGTCCGCGCATCCCTTCAATGGCGATAACCAACTACAACTCCAATGAGCGAAAAGGCCACCACCGATTAGAGGAGCCCCTAGCTAGGATAAGATCTTTGATTGCCCGTCATGAAACAAGGGCGTGTGGCAGCCGTAAGCCGACAATCCCTTCTTGAATGGTTCCGGTGCGTGGGTCATATACCGACGATCCTCGAAACCGTCGGTTGCCACGCATGCGGAAGCAATTCCCGACCGTTATTAGGTATGGGGTAATCAATTCACATCTCCTTTTCTTTGTTTACTGCCCCCATTGTTCCCACGCAATAACTTATCCATACTTTGTCTTTTGTATCTGCTAGAGGTTATACACTGGCCACTGGATCTTGTATGTACGTCATGGCGACCACGCTTAGACCTTCTGCTTCCGCCACGGCTTTCACTTTCCTCGATAGAAAGTTGGAAGCGCCCGATGTGAGGGCTGCTACGACACTCTCGCATTCAACTACCAACCTGTCGGGCGAATCCTTGCCGTATTGGCTGGTCAACATCTCTCCTGACAGATGGCCGGTTGAATGCCCTAGCTTTCTCCGTGATATCTGTGAGAAGAATATCCAAATACTGTCGATTCCCGACGAACAATATGAGAGACAAGGGTGGGAACTAGTGAAGGAGATCGTCCGTGAGTGTTCGACAGTGTGAGTAGGAGGCTTTTGGGAACCGCATCTAATGATCTAGGAACCAATCAAATCGATCGCTTCCAACGCCTTCCCAGCGATTTGCGAAAGTACCTCGAATACAAGGAGTGGATTGTCGCCGAGTATGGATCAGTCATGCGGTTTGTTGTGAAGGAGCGACTACGTTGGGGAGAAGGCAGTCCCGACGACCTTAAGCCCAGAGGGCGTCCGTTTGAGTTTGACGGTGAGTTCGTGTTCAATCTCGCGCGATATGGATCTCTGTGACACAAGTCGCTGATATGACAGTAGGGGATATTCGAATTCTATACAACGACTGGCCGTACGGAATCGAGAAAGATATCGTCCATTTAGTGGTGTGGACCAAGTTCGAGCTGGAAGATGATCCGGTGACCGACGATCTGACACTGCGGGCTAGACAAGAGATTGATGACTATGTCAAGAAGACGTTCTGCTCGCGAGTACCATCAGAGAAAGTATGTATCCCGTGCGTGCGGCGGATATGATTTCTGCTGCCTTCGTGATTCCGTCCCATGGTCAAGTGACGACTGACCATCATTGCAGGTCATCTGGTTCAAAAACTGGAAGTCTCTCAAGTCAGTGCATGCGGTAGAACACTTCCATGTTATGTTATATAAACCGGATCCAGAATTCACAAAAGAAATCACTGGAGGGGATATGCCGATGGTTGCAAGGATGTGAGAGTTGCTTAGTACCTACTAAGTAATAGGAGGTACTACTTGACTGTTGCTGCTTTAAAGCGAAAGAGATCCCGTTTTCTTTTTCGTGTTTTTTCCTCCTTTGGCGCTGATTTGGATTGGATATGTTTCGGGTCAGGCAAATTATGCTTGTTTTGGTCTTAGTGCCGTCCAGGGTCATGATTTTTTTTTTTTTTTCTTTTTCTTTTCCCTTTTTCTTTTCTTTCGTTTTGTTCCCAAATGACTATCTCTCAGTCATCTCATATAGATGTTAAAAGGATAGAGTCAATAATCCAAGACCACGATTCGAGGGATTGTATGTAATATGTATACATAGTAGTAGTAGTAGTAGATCAATGGATCGGTACAGCACCAGTACGACGTACTGCCAGCTGAAGTACTCCTGTAATGGAACGTTAATGGAACAACTTCCGAAAGCTATGAAATACTGTGACTGGCTACGCGACGTAATCCCCACTTGCCAAGATGGACGGTCCCTCCTCTACTATCGATGGAGCTCTCGAAGGATCGGTGAGAAAAAAAAACTTCCTCTGGTTGAGCATGTGTCCAAGGGGACATTCTCTTTGGCTCCGTGATTCTACACGCCTCTGATCATGGATGATTTCTTTTAGCTTAGATCTATCCTTATTCAGAAGAGGGGTACATACATACATACATACATACATACATACATGCATACTGCATACTAGATAAAGTAGTACATACACCACTGCGACAGGTTCTGTAGGTATCCGGGTGAGTGGTGGGAAACGAAAGATGATGATCTTCTGTTGAGATTCATGCATTCCTTTTTCAGAGGACATCTTTTCTCTCCCTGTTCTCCAGTATCCACCGCAGCTTATATAAATCGTAACCCACCTCAACGTGTACCCGTTTTCTTCTTTCTCGTTTTTCTTTTCTAATAAAAGTTCCCCTTCATTTTCGAAGATTTCTTAAGGACAGAGATCTGGGTTGTAGTTCCTTGTCTTTCTTTCCTTAATGAACCAGATTGGTATCAGGTGATTGACTTGCAGTCTAACAAACGCCAGTGTTCTTTTTTAATTGATTAGAGAAGGAACAAAAACAGAAGAAAACGAATACGAATTTAAAAGATCCCCAACGCGACTACTACTACTACTACTACTACTACTACGACGACGACGACGACTTCTATTCTGCCCCAAGCGACAAAACAAAAAGAACTCCCTTGAGTTCCATTCTTCAGGATTATTGATTGGAATTGAAATTCAGCATTATACTGTACTGTACTTGTTAGTAGGCAGTCATGGCCATACTCCCGCATATCCGCCGCTCGTCGTCGTTGGCGAGTCCTGCAACGAGTAAGTTACAATACATACTTGAACTTTACAGACTTTAAACGTCACCTTTCCGCCAAATTTTTTTTTTTTTGATTTATTTTATTTTATTTTTTGTTGTATTTCCCTCCCACCTTCGAAAACGTCATCCCCTCTCTTTACTCAGTCTTTCCCCCTCCGCCTTCTTTCCTTCCACCCCATACTTTGCACCATACATACACAACATTCGTCCATGCATACATTCTTATTTTTGTAATCCTTTCTTTTTTTTTTTTTTCTCCTCCCCCCTCAACAACACATAGTTGGCATCCCAGCATCTTTCTGATACCTCTTCACTCCTCCCCTCCCCTCTCATCATGTCTGCTGACTGGGGCTCCTTCTTCAATTCCTCAGGTAACCGTTCATCCACGGATGAGCCCAATGTTGTGGCCGGGGATGATGACACCGAACCCGACCAGGGTAATGGTACGTAGAAAGAACGAAAAACCAAAAAACGCCGTGAGAGAACTCTCGTGCGATGACATCTCCTAGGGAGCTTAAGATGCTGACCTCTCAAGTCCTGTCGCACATTATCAGCCAGCTCCGCCCGGGAGCTGATCTGAGTCGGGTGGTGCTGCCTACCTTCATTTTAGAACCCCGGTCTATGTTGGAGCGGATCACCAAGTATGTGCTATAGCTATCGGTATTGTGTTGCTCAGTACTAATATCACCTTGTCGCTAGCTTCATGGCTCATCCGGAGACCCTTCTGCCTATGCCCACTGTCGATGATCCCCTCGAACGCTTCGTCTCCGTGGTCAAGTTCTACTTGAGCGGTTGGCACATCAAGCCTCCGTATGTCTGCTCTTGTGGCTACCCATCACTCGGGTGAACCGGAAATTCGCTAACACTCTACAACAGAGGTGTGAAGAAACCGCTCAACCCGATTCTAGGAGAAACCTTTACTGGCTACTGGGATTATCCGGATGGAACCCGCGGATACTACATCGCCGAACAGACCTCCCACCACCCTCCCAAATCGAGCTATTTCTTCATGGCGCCCGAGCACAATATCCGGATAGATGGGACGCTGATCCCCCGCAGCAAATTCCTGGGCAACTCGGCCGGAAGCATGATGGAGGGAATCGCCGTTTTGCGCTTTTTGAACCGCGGTTCGAACAAGGAGAAGGGCGAGCGATAGTATGTTTCGCCCATGTCTTCCTCTGTTCATGGTGCTGGTACTGACGTCAAATTTAGCATCTTGACTCAGCCGAATATGTACGCCCGGAATATTCTAATCGGAAAGATGAAATACGAGCTGGGCGACCACAGCTATGTCAGATGCCCGGAGAACAATCTGGTTGCCGATATCGAGTTCAAAACCAAGGGCTACTTTAGCGGTTCCTATAACCAAATTGGGGGCACGATCAAGAACAGCGAGACCGGTCAGATATACTACGAATTGTCGGGTTATTGGAACAAGGAGATGTTCATTACAGATGTCCGGGTATGTTTGTCCCCCAAATAGCATTTACCAGCCACGGATATCTAACTGGCGCAGACCCATAAGAAAGAAATTCTGTTCAACGCAAGCACCGCTACCCATACCCCTCCCCAGGTGCGACCCATCGCACAGCAGGGCGAACGCGAGTCACAGCGGCTGTGGCAGACTACCGTCAAGGCACTCATGGAGCGGAATCACGAGGTGGCCACGGATGAAAAGACGAAGATTGAAGATCGCCAACGAGAAGAAGCAGCCAAGCGGGCCAATGACGGCGTGGAATGGCATCCGAAAATCTTCCGTCCGGTTCAGGGAGGTCCTGGTGGCGCCGACGAAGGCGAGGAGGATCTCGATTGGATCATCAACGCACAAATGTAAGTCTCCACAGGCGCACGGGTTGATTTAAACTCACAGGTGTTGCAGTGACGCGCACAACCCCGAATTGGCCACCAAGCAGATTTTATCCATTGCCCCGATCTTAGAAGGCCAGACTGAGTCCTCTCAATACAAAATTCCACCTCACAAAGCGGGGCATGAGGCAGCTCCACCTGACCACAACGGCGCCGCCCCGAGTGCAGTTCAGCCCACCTCCGTAGTAGGTGAAAAGCTCGAAGAGGTGCAGCGCAAAGACACGCGAACGTCGGACGTCGACACCTTCGTGGACGCCAACCCGTGACCGTATCTCCGTGGGGATACGTGTGACGCGCATCTCGGTGGTTTAGTATCTAACGACCGCATCTCGAACCAAATACAGGTCTCGGAGGGTCAATGAGATGATAATAAAAAGGGGGGGGAGATTGAGAAGCGAAAAAGAAATGGTAGCGTAGCCTGGAATTACAAACGTGGTTGGCCTGCGGTGACGGAGCGATTAAAGGGACATGACTGACTGACTTAACCGTACATCGGAAGGTACTGTCGGACCCTATGACTCCAGGCCCTTGTCGTTCAAAACCAGGTTTCGACCGACGTGCCCTACCGCACCTCTACTGGATACCCAATTGAATATTCTGTCTTTATAATTAGTATATTACATGGCAAAAATAAAGGGTTGGCTGGTCGGCATACAGATAGGAGTATAAGAAAGGACGGATGGGAGCATATAATCTGTCGAGTTTCTATTGTGATGTGAAGTGGTTATCCTAATACGCAGTTAAAGAGTCGTGCTCCACAATATAACCAAATACTTTTAGTTTGATTTTCTTCTAACCATGCATGGTGAATTAGATATGATTCTAATAGATTGCATAATGCATGCGATATAATTTAATATGGTACATTAACTCCACTGGTATCACGTGTAGTAACCACCAAGACAACCGACACGAGCAACGCCGGAACCACCAACACCAAGAGACAAAATGCAGATACTCAACGACGACAGAGAGAGAAAGAGGGCACGCAAGGACGAAAGAGAAGCAGGGAATCAAGCAGAGAATAATTCCCCTCTCTGCCCAGCACCCCTCTCCAATTCCCGTCGTCGATTATTCTTACTCGCAGACCCACTGCCCTCTCTTTCCTCCCTCGCCTCCTCCTGCTGCGCCATCTGCTCCTCGATCTCCTTCTCCGTATCCTCCCGCAGGCCCAGAATATCCGGCGGAATAAAACTCATCTGCACGCTCGGCGCGCCCTGCATATACCGCAACTGCTCGTGGATGGACTGGACAAGTCCGGATAGGTAGCTGCGCGGGTTCTTATTCTCGAGCTTGCGCATCTCGCTCAGCGGCGGAAATAGCGAGTAATCTGGGCCGAAGTGATTGCGGAAGGCGACGGTTTCAGGGATGTTGGGGTCGATGGTATCCTGGGCGTCGATGAGAATGGAGGTTTCGTGAGCCCAGGCGCGGGAGACGTTGCGAGGGGTGTAGCCGCCACCGCCCACGACGAGGAGGGGGAGGCCGAAAGTTTTGACATAGGCGACGCAGGCGCCGTGGGCGGCGACGTTGAGGTTGAAGCAGCCGAGGCGGTCACAGCCGAGGGAGTCGGCGCCGCACTGGAGGACGATTGCGCCGGGTTGGTAGGTTGAGATGCAGGAGCCAATGACTTCGCGGAAGAGGCGGATGTAGGATTCATCGTCGATGCCGTCGTGGAGGGGGACGTTGACGGCGTGGTGTGCTCCTGGATTCAGTGGGTGGGTGGGTCCGGTGCTGTCTAGGGCGCCGGTGCCTGGAAAGAAGTTGTCTTTGTCGTATTTGTGGAAGGAGACGGTCAGGACGCGGTCGGTGGACCAGAAGGCTTGTTCAACGCCGTCGCCGTGGTGCACGTCAATGTCGATATACATCACGCGCGGATGCAGACGGAGGAGCTGTAGGATGCCGAGGACGATGTCGTTCACGTAGCAGAAGCCGCTGGCCTCGGCCTTTTTGGCGTGGTGAAGACCGCCGGACCAGTTGATTGCGATTTCAGATTGGTTGTTGCAGAGCTTCCGAGCAGCGTCGATGGAGCCGCCAGCGTAGAGGGAGCAGTAGTTGTACAGCCCGTCGAAGATGGGGCAATCGTCGCCGAAATTGAAGCGCGCAATGTTCTCGCCTTGCTCTGGGTTCTCCATATCGCCGGGAATGACCTGGCGGAGGAAATCAAGGTAGTCTGTTTTGTGAAACTCAGCCATTTCTTCGTAGGTCGCTTCGCGAGCGAGATACAGGTCCATCGCGTGGTGCATGCCGTAGGCCATGACGAGTTGTTTGGTCAGAGTCAGACGCCAGGGTTTCATCGGATGCGATTGACCGAAATGGTGCGGTTCGACAGCTGGATTAGCGTGCCAGGAGACACGGTAGCCTTTGGGGCGAGCGATCCCATTTTGTTGGCGTTCATGGATGGTCTTGTGGTCGAGCGTGAGGGTGGGAGTGGACGAGGAGGGAGGGGCGTATTCTTGGACGATGGCAGAGCGTGCCATGATGTGAATTGGGGATGAGGGGAAGTGAAGAGCGAGGGCGGGAATAGTAAGGAAAGAGAAGAGATGTCAGGTATAGAGAGAAAACAGCCCCACTAGGAGAGCATTCTCAGAACATTCTGAGGCGGCAAAAGTGGAGGAGCGAAGGCGACGGGAGAAGTGAGAAGGTACGATAAGCGGAAGAAATCCCCAGACGTCGGAGTGCCAAGAAAATCCCGAGTTATGCCCGAACCTTACTTGAGCTGTTCCCGATGTCGGCTTATACGGCAAGATTTGATATCATCGTTCGTTTCTCTCCATTGGGGGCAAATGAAAGAGAACTTTGTCATTCCGATAGCTTAATAAAGCTTGTCGGGGATTTTCCTACTATAAGAACCTTTTAACTGCCGACCCTGTTACCCGGTGTAACTCCCTCTTAGTGCATATACAGTTGTGGATCCAGGTCGTCACCTTTAAATCTTTTAGTAGTCTCAAACCAAGACTGTTATTGCCCAACCGGTCCCTAAACTTAGCCTCAATCAACTACATCCTACGTCCTATCCCCCACTAAATCCCTGCAGCACACACGATGCCGATGGTAACAGCAGCTACTGGTCTTCGACGCACCCTTGAAGACCCAAACTCGTTCGTCGTCGCCCCCGGTGTATATGATGGCCTCTCTGCACGGATTGCGCTCTCCGTTGGCTTCGACGCCCTGTACATGGTAAGTTAAGTTCGCCGGTCCCTCCACTTCCTCTCTGACTCTTATAGACGGGTGCTGGTACCGCCGCCTCTGTGCACGGACAAGCCGACCTGGGAATCTGCACTTTGAATGACATGCGCGCCAACGCCGAAATGCTCTCAAATCTTTCGCCGACTACACCCGTGATCGCAGATGCTGACACTGGGTACGGTGGTCCGATCATGGTCGCCCGCACAACCGAACAATACTCCCGCTCTGGCGTAGCAGCTTTCCACATCGAGGATCAAGTGCAGACGAAGCGCTGCGGGCACCTGGGCGGGAAGATCCTTGTGGACACCGAAACTTATGTTACCCGCATTCGTGCGGCGGTGCAGGCACGACAGCGTATCGGTAGTGATATTGTGGTTATTGCCCGGACAGACTCTCTTCAGACACACGGTTATGAGGAAAGTGTAGCACGTCTACGAGCGGCGCGGGACGCTGGCGCAGACGTAGGTTTCCTCGAGGGAATTACGTCCAAGGAAATGGCAAGGCAAGTGGTGAAGGAGCTGGGTCCGTGGCCGATGCTGCTGAACATGGTCGAGCATGGGGCGACTCCGTCGATCTCGGCGGCTGAGGCCAAGGAGATGGGATTCCGTATCATCATTTTCCCGTTCGCTGGTTTGGGACCCGCCTGTGCAGCCATGCGCGAAGCAATGGAAAAGCTGAAGGCTGATGGTATTCCGGGCTTGTCGAAGGAGATGACTCCGCAGATGTTGTTCCGAGTCTGCGGGCTAGATGAGAGTATCAAAGTCGATGCGGAGGCTGGAGGAGCGGCATTCGAAGGCGGTGTTGATCTGAAGTAAGAGTCATGCCGCACTGTACGGCAAATGAGGATCAAATGTGACCATATAAGCAACAGCGTCGACTATTATCATTTTGAACTAGGCATAAAAACGAGCTCGACCAATGACTCTGTATTGCATGATATCAAATCCAGAGTTTTTGTTCGCGTTGGGATACTCTGGTCACCATTTCTGTCATATCTCGCAAAGCTCCCGTATGACGTTCCAGGATTGGTATGCACGGTGCGTGTCAGACAAGGGCCGCAGGAAACTAATGCTTAGCTTGAGCACATTGCCCCAGCACTAGACCTAGCGTATTTCTTCTTTGGTCACGATGCCGCGTAACCAGCGTACGATGTAGTATAGATATTCAGTGCTATTCTGGTCGAAGAGGTAAAATAGAGTATGGTCTTTGTTTGGCCTTGCGCGACTTCAACGGTGAGCAGTAGCGACCTCACCGATGATTGCAGGGCCTTACTATAAGACAACTGCAAAGACGCCCCTGGCCTGGGATGAAATGGAGCTGCAGGCGATGCCAAGATCACTATATGAAGCTGTGTCACGGCTGATAGCCGTCAGGTCCGTACAGAGTATGGATTAGCGGGCGCCGGGACTCCGTCATTAACAGTGCGCATGATTTGCCAAGAAGATAAAGACGAGGCTGTAGATCGATTATGGAGGATCATAAAAGGCAACCCGGTCTTCGTGTCTTCTGAATAAAGGAAACTGGGCCAGCGCGTCGACGGTCGAGCATACTTAGTAAAGCGCAGTGTAGTTACTCCGTCTCGAGTATACCCAGATGGCATATGCAAGTCGAACGAATAGGGTGGATAACTCTAAATTCAAGTGATGAGCTTGGCGGGCATCACATGATCCCTGTTTTGCCGACTGCCGACATAAAGTTTCAGGGATCATCCAAGACAGCTTACGAGTCCTTGGTCCGTGTGGGCGCCGGCCAGTAAATTGATGGAAAGAAAAGGGTGAACCTAAGAATATCCCCGGCTCAAATTTAGAGCGAGGAAAGTTGCTGCAGACATGAGATCAAGTTTGTCGATGCAATCTCCCGTTTCATGGTCAGCCCTTGCTTGGTTCCGTCGTCAACCATGGAACGCGAACCCACAACTGTGTTGTTTATTTATATTGTGTACTCCGTAAGTGGTGTAGTTACCAGTAACCACGGAAGTCCGTCTTCCTCATTTCCGATTTTGCATGGCGCCGAGGGTACACATTCCAGAAGCGTCCTACTGCTCGTATCCTCACAGGCCACCTCCCTGGGACTAACCGGTGGCAATGGCAGTTGTGGGCTTAGACACAGGCACGGGCGACCATTGTGGATCTGACTCCTTCATTAGTTCGGAATCCTGCTGTGCCGACCCTCATTGACCCACGATAGTAGCTAGGCGCTGGCTGGAAGGGTCTACTGAAGTCTCTGCCAGTGTTGCCTACCTTAGATAGAGACTATGGGGTTGTTGAGACTTCGAGGGGAAAGGAATGCAGGCTGGAATTGCGACATGGTTCAGTAAGGTATAGAACCCCCGGAAAAAGAACGGTTCTTTTGCAGGGAGTACCTTAATAATCAAGATGAGGCACCCGGAAGTCCAGCAAATTAGTACTTTCGTGTGGGGTGTGAGCGATACCGTACCAATCAACTGGTAGCCATCGTTTCCTGCTGTTGGCCATGTATGTATGTATGTATGTACAGTACGTACTGTACCTGACATTGCGGTGAACGGCGGAACTTGAAAGAGGAGGTATATATCGAGAAAAGAAACCAAGAGAGATATTAGTGTGATATCCCAGAATCATTGGCTGTTTAATCTACTGCACCTCTTATAAAATCAAATGGCAGATTGGACAGTTCAGCAACAATTTGTTCCGCATTTCGAGGGCTCGCGACGTGGCAGGTCAGATGCTGCCAGGCACCACAATCGCAAGACGAGGAATTGGACAGATGCTTTGTCAGTTATGCAGGAACCATCACACAACAGCAGTCGAAGGAGTAACACATCATCATGGTTTTATGGTGATAGTCCGACTTGTCATATCATGACAATCAGGCAGCATTCCATCAATCTAATCATGATGATCGGAATGGAGATGTGACATCACCCTCATCGGACACGTCGAAATCCCCAGCGGTGAAATAGACAGGCATGGTGGATTGATCTATACTAAACAATAAAAACATCTATACGGAGTAGAGAACAATGAGTTCGTCAGGTACCGAGACCCCAGTATACCGTATGGTAACCACGGTAAAGGTGTGATCAACCCGGCGGCCGTTCCAAGGGACCAGAGTCTCGACCGCAGTAGGCGGTGGACCCTTCAGGGTCCTTTGCACCAATGGAGACCCTGAGAACCAAGGCCAACGGGTAACGCTCAGGTACCGAAGGCTCGACCCAACCAATGAGTAACCACAACACTTCTCGTGTCCCCTGATCGGCCCCCTTTTCATTTAATGAAACCATTGACGGGCCTCGCGCTGAAAAGTATTATTACTACTGAAACCCCCCTCCCTCTTTTTCTTTCTCTCTTTCTCTTATTCTTCTCTAATCACGATTCCTTCCCTTCCCTTGGGTTCGCAATACACTCCTTTCGTTAGTGTTGTTTTATAGAGCCTCTGCTTGCTCGAGACATTCCTTGAATCAACCCAAAAACACATTCCTTGATATTGTTTGCGTTCCCTGGGCTATTGTTCTGTGGCATATATACCTACTGTGATACCCATATCTCTCGTACATAACCTTGGTTATCTGTGAACATCCAACGCAATTATTTTGATCACCATGCAGCTCAAGAACTCACTGTTCCTGCTCACCGCGTTGACGGCTGGTTCCACCGTCGCCCGTATGCACGGCCACGAGCGTCGCCATGCCCACCACCACCTGCAGCACGAGGAGAAGCGCGCGGTCGGTGATATAGTCTATGCCAACTTCAACGGCGTCTGGAAGTCCTGGATCAACGAGTTCTCCGGCGTCGCCAGCACTACCTCCGCCTCCGACTCTACTCCTACAGCTTCCTCCTCGGGTACTTCTGTTGTCACCGTCTCCGCTGTCCCTACCGCCAGCAGTGGCCCTACCGTGACCACCCCCGGATCCTGCAAGGAGTGGCATGCTTTCCAGGACGGTGACAATTACACCCGCGAGGGCTTCGGAAATAAGACCGCGAACAACGGTGCAGAGTACATCAAGTACATTGGCAACGTTGGCGACCCGTACGGCAGCAACATCATCGAGGTCTCCGAGAGCAAGGCCTGCGAGTACAAGCACGTCATCCGCATTGACGGCAGTGAGAAGGAGACCTGGACCGTTGCCTTCTGGAACAAGATGGGCCCCGATCTCAAGCTTACTGGCTGGTACGGCAATGCTGTTCTGACCCTCAAGATCAACCCCGGTGAGAGCAAGTACGTTGCTTTCGACGACGACTCTCAGGGTGCCTGGGGTGCCGCCAAAGGTGACTCACTTCCTAAGGACCAATACGGTGGCTACGCCTGCACCTGGGGTGAATTCGACTTCGGCAACACCTCCAACGAGGGCTGGTCCGGCTGGGACGTGTCTGCCATTCAGGCCCAGAATGCCGGTCTCGATGTCCAGGGTATGAGAATCTGCACCCACGACAACCAAAAGTGCTCTGCCATCTCCAACCTTGCCAAGCTGGTTGAGAACGCTTACACTGCCCTCGAGGCCGGCGTTGACGGCATCGGTGGCGAATGGACCGCTGGCGCTCTCCGTCTGGTTGTCAACATTGACTTCGACTAAGCGTTGTTTCTGTGCCCTGTCAGTTTCGTTTCTTCCCTTCTATGACTTTACTTCTGCAAAATTGATTAGGGGTTGGAGGTGTTTTTCTCTTCATTGTATGCGGTGTCTAATGGCGCTTGTAGCGTTGAAACCAACATGTCCGGTTTCATCCTCAAGTCCTTACACCCGTGACCGCCATCCGGCCTTGACGATAGTGCATTCATTTCCATGTACATACATATACCACTGTTCACTGTATTGATTTAGTTTCATATCACGATAGAATTACGTACAATTTATCCATACTCCACCTGTAGCATTCCATGTCTTTCCCTCGGAATGTACATGACACATACCAGTAGCTTATCTTAAACAATGTACCTTTCTCCCTAATCCTATCCCACAAGTGACCTCTATACAATAGACCTAATTCAACCTTGGAACCTAAAGTAACCCCCAAATCAAAACCCCTGGCCCCAACAAAGAGATCCCTCCCATACACGGAAGGTAAAAGGAACCCATCTATAAATAACCCTCACGTCAGCAACCCTCCCTTTTCTATAATTGGCATCATATCTATATTCAGATCAATCGGTATCCTCACCTTTAGAGTTCACTTAATATCGTCTCCATCCAGCAGGCCGGTTCTAAGGATACAGAATCATACACGTAGTTTCAGGGTTGGGATTGATCTGTTGCGTAAGTATATGACGTCGCTTTGGGCTAAAGGTCGGAATGTCAGGGAGTGTTGGATATTCTCGCGTAGGGTTGTTTGAGGGATTTATTGGTGAGTGGTTTGTTCCTGTGGGTGTTCCTGTACTTACCCTATATGTATGTATCGCAATATACGAGGCATCGGTGTGTAGTAGTAGTGTGCTCTGATTGATGGGGTTATGGGAATATGAGTCTGGAAGGGGTTATATCTGTGATACTTAACAAGGTCACTGGTTTTTGCGTCGGTGGATGGAAATATATGGAGCTATTATCATCCTGAACTCTTGACATTAGGTACATATAATATTTATGGTACAAGTAGGTCCGGTGTCGGCCTGTGTTTTTGGTAGAAGGTGAGCGAGCGGTGTGGTATTAGTTAGCATGTAGTTGAAGGTATAATCATTCACAGAATAGGAAGTGAACAAGAACAATAAGGTATTCTATTCATACATATACGGTCAATTAATCAATCAACGAACTGAACAATCACAGCCCAGCCAGGATTTGCTGCACCTGAAGTGAGTCGGGCTCTATATCCGGCATAGATTCAAATTCACCACCCTCAAGCTCGTCGTCCTCTTCATATTCATCGCCCACTTCTGCAGAGAAAAATCCCTCGTACGCCATGTACCCGATCAGCGCGGCAATACCACCCACGGCGTATGCGACATTGACCAGAATATCTTTCTTCTGTCCCTTCGCAAGCGCAGACAGTTTCTGGCTATCGGGCTCCGAGAGGCCCGAGTCTGGCGACTCTGCCGCTACCCGCAGCCTATCCTGGGCGCGGATGTCCTTGAGGATCGGCGTGCTGTCGGCAAGGACATTGAAGAGGGTGTTCCCCAACGTAGTGAGACGAGCACGTTCCGGTGCACGCCAAGGTAGGGACGAGCCGCTAGTCGGGGTAGGGGTATACGCATGCGACACCTCGGCGCCGAGACCGTAGCACTGTTGGCGCATGCGCTCGGTATATACCGTCAACCGAGGCGCCTTGCTCTTCATGGCATCGCGGAGCCATGAGAAAGATAGTTCTGGAACAAGAGCCAAAGACAAGTATCCGACGGCCAAGCAGTCTAAGCTAGATGGACCTTCGTTCTCGCCCGTGAGGAGATACACTTTATCACCCAAGATCTCTTCTAGCGGCTCGAAGAGCTCCCCCGTCAAGGCATCCAGTCGGAACTGGTTCTGCTGCGAGGTCTTCCCCAGGAGACTTGTGACGGTATCACGCGGCCGGCGGATGAAGTTTGGAGGGATCTGGCCGGCTGCGACGGCGGCTGAGTGTTCGCGTTGGCGCTGATCTTCAATGGCTTGTAGATCCAGTGACGAGAGCCCGAGATGTTCTGTTCGGGCTTTTGCGGCAGCGTGGATTTTCGGAGGGAGAATCCATTGGTTCGGCCACTGGAGGATGGAGCCGTAGGCAGGGGAGGTCTGGTTGTAGTAGTTCTGACTGGTTACGTAGAGGGAGAGGTCGACAAGAGCATGAGCGCGGGATTCGACGAAGGATGAGAATCTGATTTTTTGGTCACAGGTACGGTTAGATGTCCATTCCGCTCACCTAGACAGTAGTCGAACTCAAATATGAGACAAACGTACCCAATGTTGTCGGCCCTTTGCAGGCCGCTCAACCCTCCATCTAAATCCCACTCGCCATTCGAGTATTGTCGCAGATAATCTACGATATTTCGGAACCGGCTCACCCATGTCGAGCCATTTCGTAGAGCGGGCAATTCACCTGAGTACCCAATCAGACAGCAAAGAGGCTTAGTTAGTCCATTGCGCTACAAACCCCAGATCCGCGACATGGATACTTACAGGTTGGGGACACGGAAGGATCGCTGCTTGCGACAAGCACCCACGCGTCCTTCGGCACGGCCAGAGAAAAGTAGGCTATGGTTGCGAGGCATTGCGCCTCGATTGAGGGCAGGGAGAAGGCCGGACCCCAGACATGGAGCTCCAAAACCATTTTAATTTCTTATCTTGTTTTTGTTAGTTATCCTTGCGGTTGGAGGTGGAAATACCCATTCTGGGGTTTGCGGAATTGGAGGTGAGGATCACGTGGGGAATGCCGGGATCTTGTATGGGATTTGATTGATTTGATTAGTGTCCTGAGGCAATCAGGCAACTGTTGCGAATGAATGAATGCATGTCCGAAGGTAGGATGTAGGTACTACTAGTAGTACTAGTAGTAGTACTCTGCATGGACGACCATCTCATTTCGCAGGGGAATGAGGTCCGTGTTCAAATGGGGAAGAATGTACTTCGAAAAGAAGTTGTGTAGATTTAATGGGGAAGAAAATGCTACCTCAATCAAAAACCCTACCTGAGTCTACCGAACAACGATGTTACATTAATCTCATCAATGGCAATTAATTTATTTTTCTTTTATTTTTTTTTTTCCCCCTTTGCCTCTCTTTCGCTCTGCAGAATATATTGCTGATGGTTCTTATCGGACACACTAAACTAGTTGTCTCGATTTAACCGGTGGAATTACCGCATCCGATGATGAATGGCCAGAAGGAGCCTCAGGTGAAGCAACTATCCATTGACTAAAGGGTACTAACGACGCGTGAGGGAATATGATCACGGTATTGGGACAGAGTGCGGATGAGGGATTTTGCGGCATTCAGCTGTTCCAGATAAGTAGGCAGTTAGACAAGGCCGGGTCTTGGGGATCCCATTCCATACACACTGACCCGTGCTGTAATGCGGAGTAACTTGGCCATGACACTTAGTGCAGCTACTTCGGTTCAGCTCAATTCCATACAATCCCGCACATGGGACCATAACAATCAAGTAAGTGAAACATGGCCCCATTGAATTGCACATGCAGTTATTAGTTAGTACATCAATCTGTAGTACAGTGTACAGAGCTGAAGGTCATTTGACAGACAGCTCCCCTCGGCGGTTACAGGACCTCATTGATTAGGTTTGATGATCATCGGTCGCCCAGGCACCCAACAAACATGGCATTAGCTGGGATTGGGTGGAGGGATTTACCCACTTGTGGACCTGGGAGAGCATTTGGATCCGAATATATCATGGGAGACAAAATAACAATAGCAGTACTATGTCCTCATCGTCGTGTAGTTGTACAGTACCTATGTACATAAAGGCTATCATGCTGATATTACGTACAGTCATAAGTAGTGTTCGGTCTGATGGATGCACAACGGATGCACGAAAGAAACGCCACGGCTGCGGGCGGCTGTAAGATTAGATTAGGTATCAGCTTTCTTCTTTTTTTTTTTTTTTTTTTTTTTAAGCGGGCGTATTCTTGATAATGCTGGTGACCTCATCAACAAAGGGGGGGGGGGAAGAAAAAGAAAAAGGAATTATGCGCGGCAAACGAGGGGAAAAAGTACAGACAAGAGAAAAACCAAGGATTGTCGCAAGTTACACCCGCCAGCCGCCTTGCAAGGATTGATCGATAGTCGCGATTATGAACAGGGAACAACGGCGCTATCGACTCAAGATCCCTGCGGGTATTTCGGCCGACTCCAAAACGGCACAAGTCGGAGTCACATCATGAGTGCAGACCATGCGGTCATCGTGAAACAATTAAGCGCTGGTAGCGAGTAAGAGTGGAGATTCGGTCTAGGAGAATAAATTGATCTCATTGTTTGGTTCAAAACGCTGGCAAGAATGCAATGTGTGTTGGGTATATTAAGTCTATTATACATGCCGTTGCTTCAGATGAAATTAAAAGCCCCCATAAGAAAAAAGTAAGCAAGAGATGGTACAGAAAAGAAGAGAAAAGACCCATAATTAAATAAGTTTCGAGGCAAAGTTGCCGCAAATCACAATGGGGATTTCCAATAACGCTTTGACATCGAGGATAATCAAGTAAATCCCATGCTTCGTAGCGACGTCTGGTTGGCTGAGACGTGAGATGTTGTCAGGCTCTAAGCCTCCAAACGCCCCCTGGTGTTCCATAGCTTTGCGGGGTTTGTGCCGATAACAAGCCGTTGGAAGCCACCGATGTGAGAGATAAGTGACAACGTGGGTGGGGAGATCGCAAACCCCGATAACTTTGATATCATTTTTGTTGTCAGGCGCCTGCCTTGCATGACGCCGTTGGCCAAATCAAATGACCGTATGAATCACTGGTGGCCTGATGTCGCAATGCCAAAGCGCCATTGCAGAAGGAGAGGGGGGGAAAAAACGTGGCGCCGGCGCCTGTCCGTAGAATCGGAGTGTGAAGAAAGATAAACTCCCGCAATTAACGTCATCGCGCAGCTCCTATCCTGAGGCCGGTTGAGATCCCAATAGAGTGAAAAGAAATCCGAAATGGTAGAAGCGAAGATAAGAGAAAATAACGTCGAATAAAAGTTGTATATGAGAATGGGTTCGGGGTAGATCAAAGCCAATTTGCAGTTCCGAAATCGAAAATCGTGATATCCATATGCCAAATGCAACGCCGTTTCGTGAGCGTCACGAGTCAGTTCGTGTTGATGTTTTCACCGACGGGGTGAATGAACCGCTCGAATACGCCGGGTCGTCATTTCATCACAAAGCCCAAGGTTTACTTAGGAAGAGGAGGAAGAGGACCCTTGGGAGGAGGACCAGGGCAAGGAGGGAACTGAGAAGTAGAGCCACCGATGGAAGGCATTGTGAATAAGGTTGATTTGGTGGTGTTGATGATAGTGATGGTGGTTGATAGTTGTATTGTGATGCGCCTGGACGGTGTAGTTGGCAGTTTCAGGAGTAGCCTCTTAAGTGTGTAGAAGTACAATCCAATGGTATTCGATGTCTTTGAAATGAGAAAAGGAAGAAACAACAGAAGACGAGGTCTACCAGAGCTTTATATATAGGCTATGATCTTCGTCTGTCTTTTTATTTTTATTTTTATTTTTAATTAACCCCAACAACAACCATAATTCCCGATTTACAAAAAAGAAAAATTAAAAAAAAAAATATGTGAGAGAAACTAACCCCTGCCGTGAACAGGAGCTGAAGCTCCACAACCGGACAAAGGGGAATGAACTACGTCAGAATTATCTGACCGTCTTTGCACTAGTTCCGTCCGGTGTGGGCTGGTGTTATCTGGGATGCCCCAATCGGAAATTCAAGGGAAATTTTCTAGAAGCTCCTTCTATTCCACTCGTTGCCTCGTCTTCTGGGGACGCAGGGAGGGAATTGTTGACCCTCCCCCTTATTCCTTGTCCCACCGTCGAAAAATCATTCCGGAATTTTATTTACTCGAATTTGCCCGTCAATTATAGTTATTTTCTGTTATACATGCAGAATGCAGTAGTACTGCATCCTTTTACGGGGCCCCAAAGAAAATAATAGTCAAAAAAAAAGAATTAATCAAATAATCAAAAGCAATCTGCAAGACCCACCGCCCTTTTTCTTTCCCCTTTCGTTTTGGTTTTTTTTTTCCCCTTGACTCTTTCGAGTAAAAAGCGAATCGGTTCCTTCCATGGGGTAGAGAAACCGTATCTTTCATCGTCGACATCATGATTATTCAGTATTACGTAAATACGGAGATTACAGCGTAATGACCAAACGTAGTCTACGCATCATTGATGATATGCCAGGCATGAGCAGAGCATCTGACAGAATGACTCAAAATAATAATAATAGTCTAGCCCAGAAGGAGGGTCAAAGCCACTCCTCAACAACCTTGTGCCTTGCGCACAGATGATAAGGCCTCGTAAACTCCCCTCTTGCTTTCATAGGCTCGTGGATTCTAGGTTGGAGGCTGACAGGCACGTGTTGGCGTGTCGATCGATCCTAAGGGAGAAGAACCTAGGAAATTGATCAGACTGGTACTATGCACTCCGTAGTTTAGTCTAAAGGATGATCCAAATCCCCCAAGAGGATACGCCAACATGGTCGGTGCTGGTTGCCTGAAACTCTGATCTGTTTGTGATTCATCACTCTCACAGACCCGAAGGATGAAGATCCTAGTTTCAGCCAGACTGCCGGGATCGCTACCAGCCGCCAGAACCTCAAGCTCCTGATTCTGGCAAGGTTCCTGAGTAAAAAAAAAAAAAAAAAAAAAAAGATCGCTCAGTCCGGGAAGGAAGGAGGTCGTCTATTCCTTGCAGCCTTGGCCGAGGGACTTGTGTCAGGTGGGTGTGACAGGTCGTTTCATCCTCATACTAGGTGCCATCTGTTGGGATATTATTAGCATAGAACCAGTATTGCTTGAACCACTGCTTCTACACCTGAGGTTGTACAGTATCTGTAATGAAGTTGTACCTTACCAGGATGTTTCAACTTTCCAGGGGCTAAACCGCCAACCAGGTAAGAAAGAAAAAAAAAGTTGGAAACACAAACAAGAAACCGAATCTCGCTGATTGGTCGGTTCGTTACAGTCCTTGTCTCTCCTTGCAGATGCTCATACAGTAATTGTATTCTCATTCAATTATCTGAGCATTATCTGAATATTATCTTTGACTAGCCACTCGAGTCTTAGCATCCCACAAATCCCGCTTTTGGTATTTCGTCGGGCAACGGTCAGCAGTTAGTACCTGTTGTTGCTGAAAGCTCTTACTACTAGTAGTTCTTGAGTTAAGTTGCTTGACTGGCTGACTCCGCGCTCCAGGTTTTGGCCGTTGAAGTTTGACGGTAGATCCGTCAAACTTCCCAAGGTTTACTTTCTCCATACTTGACCATACTTAGCCCGTTCCTGTTGGGGCCAAAAGAAGTATAATACGTAAGAGGGAGAGCGAGAGAAAAGAAAAAATACGGTGGATACTCACCTCAGCCGCTGTGGCTGAACATCCCTTGCTGATATCATCCCATCCCCTCCTCTGATGTGGTGGTCTGCTCAGCTGGTATCATTTTTCATTCCCCTGTCCTCTGCATATTGTCTTTTTATTATTGATTATTATTATAATTTTATAAAGAAAAATTTTTAATTTTTTTTTCATCTCTTTCACTTTCTTCCACAAGGTAACACCATCACCTTTAGAACTTCAAGTTGTCCCCTGTGGATGATTTGATTTATATCCTTGCTAGTGGACATGAACCACTCACAATCAATGGATCCGGATTCAAGCAATAATATTCCGGCTGTAACTATGGAGTGCAGTAGTGTGATGAGCGGCGTACGGCGGCGGATCTTCTGCAGATGAAAAGTGACCGGGGTGTGGAAAGGGACGGAACGCATGTCACCAACACCGCTGCATCCAACTCATCAAGGATCCGTTCGCCGTCGATCCATCGGTATCTGTCGAACCAATACTTCCAGGACAACTCGATGGTATTAATTTCCTCAATTCGCCACTGTTCTCTTTCGGAGTACACATCCCCTACTCCGTGTCCATCTCTCTTAGTCTGCAGATGGTTGGCATTAGTGGGCGATTGACGGGGATGCAGGAACAAATCTCTCCCATTGGATGGGGATCCTCCATCGAACCTCTATAGATCTGGAATTAATCCCAGACGTGCGTAACAACAGACGTACCAGGTTGATATCCGAACCAAACTATCACATGATCCCTCGTCCAATTTTTTTTTTTTCCCTTTCCTCTCTTTCTTTTTTATTCTCTTTGTGGCTGAAATGCGGGAAGAGACACATGGCCAAAAAAGAAAACTCAAACGGAAGTGGAGATACAGTTCCGTAAAATGAGATCCCCACTACAAAAAAGCGTTCATTCCGCGCCGTTGGACTGTTAGCCTGAAAACCTCCTTGACCGAATCACTCACAGACACAGACAACTCCCTCATGCGGAGAGACTAACGCAGGTCTAAGCCCTCGGTTAAGCTGGCTACATGCACGACCGTCTTAGGGAAATGCGATGAAATACCGATTAGGCAAAAGTAAGATTACTCCAACACGAGAAAAGGCTATTGATGGGCACATGACTCCATCCAAGCCTGCTAATCCTTGTCTTATATTCAAGTCTCGTGTACGATCAATTCATTGAATTGTTATCAGCGACAACCCGTCTGGATACCTTCAGAATGATATCGGCAGAAACCTCGGCGCAAAGGAAATAAAAAAAAAAAAAAAATAAGGATCGACCCCATATGGGTATTTGCCTCCCGGTGGAACAATTGCAGTCCTTCCAGAAGTCTCTGGTTCCATGGTTCACCGCTCATTAGTGAGCTCCATCTCGTTCTTGTTGAGGGATTCGCCGCCTTAGCGCTAACATCGAGTCAATTGAACTAATTAATCAACTAACTGGTTCGGTCGTCCGCTACTTGGCGGTGGTGGTGGAGTTCTTGTACTCTTGTTTCACTCAATCCGTGGTCCACCATTCATTTCGGGCTCCCAATATAGTAGGTGACTTTTTGTTTCTTGGGTGCCGCGCCAGGAACGAAACCGAGTTTTCTTCATGCTCATGATGTCATGACGTGATTGTCGTCGGCAACTTGATCAATCGTTGAACTTTGTTCCCTCCTCGCGCCTATGGGGTATACCTCAAATCCGCGGACAGTCCGGGATATGTACTCCTAGTGCCACGGAAAACAGGAGAAACGCGGAGATAAATCGGACGGTTGCCTGGACAAGGTTCTGTTCGGTTCGTCCCTTGGCTACGTGCAGGATTCGAACAGCCGCCACCGGCACCACCGTCTCCCTATCAATAGGGCAGCCGAATGCAGACAATAATCTGACAAGGCTTTGACACCGTTCGTATATGCACGGCCGACCATTACTCACGGCTGCTGACCTGCAAACGGCGACGTGACTTAAGTGGCCTAAGCCTCAAGAGGACTCGCCCAGTCTAGCCCTATCTCGGCGCCGTGGCGGTGCCTCGGTCGGTCCAGAACCAGCAAAAGCAGTTCTATACGATAGTGAACCATGTCACAGATAAAGTATTCAAAACGTGACCTGACTCCATAACTCAGGGTCAATGGCGCGTCCTATAACCTTTCTGGTCGCTCTGGATTGTTCGACATGGAGCTTGTTTGAGTCTTAATGAGGCTAGGGTCTTTTGAGGCTCCACTATCACAAAGATCCATGTTATTTACGATTAATTGGGATTGACTATATCACGATTCTTATAGCGAGTATACGATGTCCTAAATTTCCATATTCGCTAGAGACGATCAAGTTTAGACACGGATAAACATATCAGCAAATGTCTTGAACAATTCGACTAAAAAACCGGGGCCCTAATCAACCCATGACACCAACAACATAGACCGACGCTCCTGAAATCAGGCAGTGTACAGTAGAGTACATCAAGATACTCGGCCGAATCAACCTATACTACAACCAAATATTAAACCCGACAAAGTATGTGACACGTAAACCAAACCACTTCCCCATGTAAGTCATACATACTCCGTACATAAGATACTTAGCACCACTTGCGTGATATTTACCTAATACCTGCAGCAACCCGGAAGTCTAAATTGATCTTCAACATTCTGCAGATATGTACAACCCTGCATAGGATAGTATGTGCATGTGGCGTGACCCAGCAACCGGTCCTTCATTTAGGGCTCTCTGTCTCATGATATATATATTTGCCGTGCGATATGTTTATGCACTTATGGGACAATACAAAAGGAATCGAATAGAACCGGAAATCATGCACTATATGCATATCGTATATAGCCACGTAGGTACAAAAGCTGGGCCCATATCCAGTCGCATTGAAAGCACAGAACCCAGAAGTTCTGCTGCTGCAGGATATCCCTGTTTTTACCCCATGTCCACGTATGCATGCCAGTTATCTTGGGATTGATATGCGTTACACAGCAGAGAGTACGTATATGAGAAAAGTTGAGAGGGAGAGGCGCTGCGCACACCCTGCGATATATACATTCGTCTTAGTCACTTTGCCTGACGCTGGGCTTGGGGGTGGTTGAGTTGCACGGCACGACTGTATGTTAAAGGTGACTGATACCATGCGATGGATGCATTCGGCCACGTCGTCCTGTTACGGTGGAATGGGAGACAGGTTACTTGTGCTGGGCGTTGGTCAACCAAGTTGTATGTAGAGGTCATACGGTGCCTGATGACATGGCGATTGTGTCCCCTTCCGGTGGTCATTCGTGGGAGCTGAGATGATTACTGTGTTACGTCTCTCGTTGTCTTGGAGGTGGCTGGCTGACGTTTGGTCTGGATTATGATTACATTGTTGGATGGCCGGAGTTGCCCGGCACCGGTTACTGGAGGGATGCGGCATCTTTAACCATCGGCTAGCATGACTACTCAGATAAAGAGCTTTCTTGGTTTGAAGGTCAGTTTCTGTAAGAATGACATGACATCAGTTGCCTGGTCTCTTTTGTAGCTATCGCTCACATGATACGAGGGATGCTTCTGGGGGGGGGGGGGTGTTTCTAGTTAGTCTTTCTGTGCACACTCTTGTGCTGTTAGGCTGCTAGATCGTGATTCACATTTCAAGCTAGACCACTCAGAAAGAGACCGAAGCATTTCCTAAGAAACATTGAACCAAAGAAGTCTAGGTCGATCAAAGAACATGTACCAATACCATCCTTCTGTTTCAAGATTGCTTTTCTTTTGGTCTCCTTTATAACTATCCTCAACCCTTATAACCGCCAGAGGCACTGTTACACCTCAAATCCTGATGATATGAGGTAAGAAGAGACAATGATAAACGATAAACAATGATGGGGCCGCTCCTCGTCGTATAAATGAGCTGAAACCCAGCTTAAAATCTCAATACCTAATACTTCTCCTCAGGAACTCATAAATCCCTCTCTTGATCCGTTATACTCTTCTTTTGTCTTTCACATCTTAATACCATCTGCCATGCATGTTTCAGGCGGC